ACTATGTTAGTACTAGGAAAATAAAAATGACCGAGAAATGGTCCTTCACCTCAAGGAGCTTAGATAGGAAGTGAAACTCACCAAGCAGCCTGTTTCTCGGGTCTTCTACAGAGTCGTATTCATGCCTGAGAGTCGTGTCCCCCACGCTGGAAATGTGACTGCCTGTGATAATAGATACGGATTTTTTATTAAGTTATAAAATGTTTCCCAGATCTTTATCAATGCCTTTCCTGTTATTATTTAAAACCCATCATTTAGTTAAGTTTAGGCCATTTTGTAAAAACTTGTTATTTTATTAAATAGTCTACGCTTTTTTTTAATCTGAAGGTCACTAATGTCTTACTGAGCAGAGCTATGGTTTAACGGGAATTCCCCCTTCAATGGGAAATCTTTAGGTACCTCTCAGAACACGACACCTAAAAGGACTAGAGAGAGAATGCCTATTGCATTCTTCCAGTGCCCGAGATTGGAAATGAAGGACAAAGTCACATTAATTTCCTCTAGATTCTCACAGCCCCTCTTCCTGGAAGAAGCTCCTCCTTGGGTCACAAAGCAGTATCTCTGGCCGGAGGTTGCTTAGTAAGGTACAGATTATCTGTCCCAGACTCCTGGGTCTCTTTCCCCAAAACAGCACTGACTACTCCCAAGTGATCAATGGCAGAAAACACAACCCAAACAGTAGGGCACCTAGGGACCTTATTACTCAGGCAGCGCATCTCCTAATCTCAAGATTAACAGGTTTTGGCTATTAGGAGAAATCTCCAGGGAGAAAAGGCTGATTTCAAATTTTGTTGCAGTGGGCCATGGTCTTGCTAAGAGACATGTCATGCTTTCTATCCATTTCTGTCCATTTCTCTGGCGCCAAAGGAGGGAGGCCTTAGACCTTGTGGAGTGACCCTTCATAAGTGACAGAAGAGAAGCAACGAGTGCCAAGCAGAGTTTAAGCACGGACCACTCCTGCCAGGTCCATGGAGGGTGGACCTTCAGATATTCTGGCACTTGAAGTCAGATTAAAGTCTCAGGGCAGAATCACCAGCCCAGTCCTTGAATTTGTTATAAGAACTTTTATAAACTGATCTTTCTCATCCCTTCTTTGCCCACCACATACCCTACATTATTCAGGAGCCCCTAGCTCAGCTCCACCAGGACCTCAGTCTTGCCACGTCATCTTTCACCTTCTACGCCCATCTTATTATCCATAGCCCACAAAATTGTTAATGAGCGTGAGGAGCCTAAAATATGTAAAGGTTAACACTCAACTGTCACATGTTTTTAACTCTTTAATCATTTTCTTTGCAATGATCTTGTATTTCTAACTCGACTGTAAACATCTTTAGATAGATGCTCATTTATCTTTGGTTCTCTCAGGATACCTACAGCCACTACCACTAATAAAAATAATTGCTAATACTTATTATAGGTGCTTATTACATGCAAAGTACCAAGCTATGCAATACACATATATGAATTACTTTAATCCTAAAACCAGGTAGCATTATTTGTTTTCAGCAAACAAGCACTGGGACATTATATAACTTTCCCAGGACACTGAGCTGATAAATGGAAAACCACAACTTAACCCCCAAAAGTTCAGCTTCCAAAGTCATACTAGCACAATTCCAGACATGAAATAATTCTGAATAAATATGGGTCAGATTGAATTTCGTTTGAAATTGTGTTCCACAGTGGCACTGCTAGTGATAGCAATCTAAGAAGGCACCTTGGTTATGGTGAGAAAAGTATTAGACTAGCAATTTTTTTTAAATCCAGGTTTTAGTTTCCATATCTGCCACTGACTTGATCAGTATTTTGACAGACATTGTTCTGGGCCTCTATTCATCTACAAGTGATGATACAATACTATGATGAATATGATGATAACAGGAATGGCTAACCAGATCTTGTCTCTCACTCTGCCTCCTTCAGCATTGTTTTACGTAACCTCACAATAACATGATAAAGTAGATACATGCCTTTAAATACTTTTATCCCCACGGTACAAATGAAGAAACTAAGGCTAACTAAAAGAACTGCTACTCTTCACACCCCTATAAAATTGTAGGAAAGAATCAGTTCTCCTTCATCTCTAGAATGATGGTATAATGACTGTATGATATAGATAAAGTTTCTAAATCAGCAAAGAGTTGAGGGGCCAAGATTCCAGAAAGAAGAGATATGTGGAAATGTTAGCCTGACACCCTCTTCTTTGTAGTCTCCACAAGAAACTATAATTTGTTGTTTGTAGTCTTTGGTCAAAAGGTTGAAAAGATGAGCAGAGCATCTTGCAGTCTTCATATACCTACAGACTACGTGAAAGGGTAAAATGGAAATAAATTAACTCTCACAAAGACTGAAACTAGCTCAGTTTTGCTTAATATGCTTTTGCCTTTGGTCTAACTACCTGCCAGGAAGTAAAAAAATCTTTTCCAGAGGAAGAGAATGTAACGTAAAGCCTCAATTTATCTTTACATTTTTTTCCCATTTAGAACAGAGGTAGGCAAACTACATCCTGCTGGCCTATGAGTCCACCAGTGTTTTTTGCACAGCCTGCAAACGGTGTAATGGTTTTTTAGATCTTTAAAGGGTTGAAAACAGTCAAAAGAAAAATATATTTTGTGACATAAAAATTGTATGAAATTCAAATTTTAGTGACCATAAATAAAGTTTTAAAACACCATAGCGAAATTCACTCACTTACATGTTACCTATGGCTGCTTTCATGCTACTATGGCAGAATTTAGTAGTTGCAGTACGGACTCATGATCCATAAATCCTGAATTATTTACTATCTGGCTCTGTTCAGGAAAACTTTGAGAACTCCTAATACAGAGTGTCCAGGGTGCAACAATAATGCACCAAACATACCAGGAGAAAACACCAAAAGACTAAAAATCAAGAAGAAAAAAAAGCATTCCATAGAAACAGATCCATAAAAAATCACTGTATTAAAATGATCAGATACAACTTTAAGATAAACAGATTATAGCAGATGCACCTAAGGTGACCTTCAATGAGTCACATCCATGTATAATCTTCTTGAGTGTGGGCAGAACTGTGACTTGCCTCTACTCAACAGAATAAGGCATAGGTGATGGATGTCACTCCCATGCTTATATTACAGCTATAAAAATCCATCTTAGCAAATAGGAGCAAGAGATCTTCCCTTGCTGGCCATGAAGAAGTAAGCTGCCAAGTTTTGGAAGGGCTGGTAAGAAGGCCATGTGGCACACAATGTGGACAACCTCTATGGGAACTGAGAGCAACTGCAGCTGGCAGCTGATAACCTCAGTTCTATAACCACAAGAGACTGATTCTGCCAAGAACCATATGAGCTTGGAAGAGGATACCATGCTCCAGAAAGGAATACAGCTCAGCTGACACTTTGACTTCAACTTTTTGAGATCCTAAGCAGAGGACTCAACCAAGCCATGCCAAACACCCAGCCCATGAAAACTGTGAGATAATAAATATGAGCTGTTTTAAGCTATTAAATCTGTGGCAATTTGCTTTACATGAGAAAAAACAGAGAGATGCTACATGTGGGAAAAAACTGTGGTGATTTGTTATGAAGCAATGAAAACTAATGCAATTTTTATTGTGTTGAAGAAAATAGATGACAAATTGTGGAGCCACAACAGAGAGTTGGGAAAAAAATTTAAGTGAAAAATACAATAACTGAAACTAAGAACATAATAGAATGTTTAACAGCACATTAGAAACAAATAGAAAAAAAACATATATATAAAGGAGCACATGGTGTATATGGAGTCCAGTTAAAAGGTCTAGCATATGTATAACTGGAGTTCTACATGGCTAGGAGAGATAGAACATCAGAAGCAATCTATGAAGAAATAATAGTCACATGTTTTTCAAACCTGAGGAAAACTTCAGGTACAGATGCAAGAATAACTCTGAATTACAAATAGGATATATTTTACACACACACCCACACACAAAATGCATGTAAGCATATCATGTAAAACAACTAAAAAATAAAGCTAAAAGCTAAAAAGAAAAAGTCTTAAAGATAGTTAGAGGGAAAAAGATACATTATTTTCAAGGAATATCAGTAAGACTACTAAATGACTTTTAACAGCAATTATGGAAAACAGAGATCAACTGAATGGCATCTTCAAGGTGCTCTGAAAGAAATGAACACCAAATGAGAATTCTCTACTCAGAGAAAATCTCCTTCACTAAAAAAAAGAAAAACAAAGGCATTTTTAGAAACGGAAAGAAAGAGAATTCATCACTAGCAGACCTACATTAAGGAAATATAAAAAGGAGTTCTTCAGGTAAAAGAAAAATTCACTCTAGATGGAAACAAAAAT